GTATGCTGTGTATCCATTTTCTTTGTATTCTAGAAAGTAATTAAATTCTTTCTCAGTTTCTGTCTTGGCCTATTTTTCATTCAGTAGGCAGTAGTTCAGTTTCCATGTGTTTAATAAGCTTTAAGAATTTAAATTTATAAACCACATAACAAATGTGTGTGTGTGTGTGTGTGTGTGTGTGTGTGTGTGTGTGTGTGTGCATGAATAAGGAAGCTATAGGATATTTGTGTGTTTGGGCATGTATTGGAATTCTTTTAACATACTGCATAAAGATCCCTGAAGTAGAATCATACTTCATAGAAAAATTAATACTATTCTGATGTTAAAAGTACTTATAATTTATAAATAAGAGCACAAAAAGGAAAAATTTAATGAAACATCATATATAAACTTATTAATAGAATGAACAATATAGCATTTCAATTCGGAGTTACAAGAATAGTTCACTATGATATAATCATATTAGATTTAAGTTCTGATTCAAATTTTAAATAAGCAGTTATCATATTGGATATTAACAATTATCCCTGACCCACTTCTTTGGTGGTCTTCAGCTATAACCTGATTTCATGAGGAAAGACCTCCTCACATACCTCATCTCTCTGACTTCTATTTGTCACCTTCTCCAGACACTCTCTAGACATGCAGTTATTATAATTAATAGAAAGTAATTTCCTGATCAAGTGCTCTATCTCATATGAGAGTTTTTGTGTCTTTTTTTATTGCAAGTGAAACCTTGTGATTTTCCACAAATCAAAAATGGACGTCTATATGATGAAGAGAGATACAGACCCTACTTCCCAGTACCTATAGGAAAGCGGTTCCACTACCTCTGCAACAGTGGATTTGTGACCGCTTCCAGGGGATACTGGGACTTCATTCACTGCACTGCTCGAGGGTGGGAGCCTGCAGTTCCGTGCCACAGTAAGTCAATGTCTGCATTAGATCACGTTTAATTCTATGGAAGAGTGGAAAGAGATGCATAATTACAGTTAAGTCTCTGATGACAAAAATAAGACCAACAAAAGAGCTTAAGAGCAAAAAGACTAGCTTCTGTCCTTTATGAGCAGCTCTTCATGAAATGAAAGTCCAAAATAAGGACTATGAGAATGCCTCTATTGCGTGTATATTTTATTTATAAAAACTAAAGATAAATGCTACATTTTAAAACATTTGGCATTGGTTTTATTATTGAATGCCACACATGCTTATTTAATTATTGTAAAGATAAGCTTTAATTTAGTTTTTTGAATAAATGAATGTTTTTATGTTTTCAATTTATCATTTTGTGGTTCTTAGGACAATGTGTTATCCATAAAGTGGAGAATGGGGAATCTTTATCCTGGCAAAGATCACTCATACAGGACCAGTCTGTAAAAGTCAAGTGTTACCCTGGCTACTGTCTTCCAAATGGTCAAGACACAGTTACATGTACAGAGAATGGCTGGTCTCCTCAACCCAAATGCATCCATGTCAGTAAGTAAACGGTTCTGAAATCACAAGATGCTCTTGATTCCCCATCCTATCTATATTAGTTACAGCAAAATGCTTCTTTTCAAATGTGTATAAGTGAATACTGAGGGTTCTTGATAAGTATATAGAAAAGTAAACACACCTAATAGACATTACAACAAAATATTGACTAAACTTTTGTTTATACTACTATAAACTTTGAAATCACATTGTTATTTGACTCAAATAATTATAATAATGTACTTTAAAATTAAACAATATAATAATAGCTACACACATCATTCATATAATCATGTAGTAATATGACATTTTAAAGCTCTGCTAATTGTCTCTGAATCCTCTGTGAGGTATAACTGGAAAGGACATTCTGAGATATTGTGTGTCTGGTTTTCATGTTTTTCTCCAATCTCTGTACTAATACATGTTTATACTGATGATTACTTCTTGTTTTTTGTTCTTGTAAATTATTGTGTGATGTCACACTTTATTTTCAAATAAATGTCTATAAAATGTTATAATAATGCTTACTGAATTCCTTTAATTATCATTTGGCATTTAAAAATACAATTCTAAGTCAATTTACAGTCAATAATTTTAATTTTTCAAATGCAGTTTTTTAAGCCATTTGTAATTAGTTTGCTGCAATATTAGGAATTCTAAAAATTAGTCTCAGGTGTATGTATTTCTTGTTTAATACAGATTCCCAACTTCTTTTAAATAACCTTAGTTAGATTTGGAAGAATTATCCAGAATATTCAGAACAATTTTGAAATAAATAATTACATAATCATATTGAGTCTTCCTATTTATGAATGCAATATATTTTTAAAATCTAATCTGTTTTTGAATGCTTGTCAACTGCCTTCTATTGTACCATTTTGCTAATGAGAAACTTTTGGTAGTATTATTTTTTTGATTCTGTCCATTATTTATTTAATCTCTGAGAACGTTTATCTTCAGTGATTCAAAATTTTATATGATTAATATTAGTGTCCTACTTAAAATTTATACTGAATTCTTATTTGATAGCATTTCTAGCATGCTGGGTTTGTCCACATTTTTAATTTTACAAATTCTTTCTAGAATCTTTGTTAATTGTTAATTGTGTTGATCTCTATGAACACACTGCTTTTTTATATTTCTGTGTCTTATCTTTTTAAAATCTTATCTCTGTGTCAACTGTTCCCCGCCTAGGCCCCAAGCCCAACCCACCGTAGCCACAAACCATGGAGCTACTTGGAGCCAGATTGCCAACTCAAGCGGCTCAGGTTTAAAAAAAAAAAAAAAAGCCGGTTCTATGAACAACTCAGGCCCTGCCAGAGCTATCGGTCCAGCTGCACTCAACTGTAATTGCAGCCGCTACATGCAACTGCAGATAAAGCTGCTTTCCACCAAAAAGCCAACTCACTTGGTCAGAGCTTAAGGAAGCCAGAGTCCAGGCTCGACTTGGCTATAGTTCCTTTTTCTGTCTTCCTTTCTTCCTTTCTTCCTTTCTTCCTTTCTTCCTTTCTTCCTTCCTTCCTTCCTTCCTTCCTTCCTTCCTTCCTTCCTTCCTTCCTTCCTTCCTTTCTTTCTTTCTTTC